TACATCGCTGGAACTCTGCAGCTTCCATGGCCTACATTAATCTTCTTACAGTGCTCTTTTTGTAGAAAAAGCCCAGCAGGAACTCATTAGCGCAATAGGCCACACCCAACAGCAGAAACTCATTAGCATATTAGGCCACACCCCTGCCAGCACAGCTCATTAGCACATTAGGCTGCACCCCCATGTTACCAGAAGTGTCGACATCCAGCCACACCCACCTTTTGCTTGTTATTCTGTTTACCTTGTTTGTTCAGGGCTTTTTTTGTAGCAGGAACTCCTTTGCATGTTAGGCCACACACCCCTAATGTAGCCAATCCTAATGAATTTCTGCTGTTGGGTGTGGCCTATTATGCTAATGAGCTCCTGCTGGGCGTGGCCAACTTGGGAGCCAGCCGGAACTCCGTTCCTGTGCGTTCCTGCCCAAAAATAGCCCTGATTTCTTCTATAGCCAGGCTGGTGCTTGGGTATGCTTCATTTCTTTGTATCCAGCCTCACTGCTGTTCTGTCAGAACCCACAGCCAACAACGTAGTACACACTTCTCAGGAAAGGTAATACTTTATTGAAGAGCTATAGATGCATTAACATAGGCACTGTTAAGAATGGCGGCTGCCCGTCGGCATAATAGGATATAGGGTATTCGCATGCACCCCCCCAATGCCCTGGCCAATTAGCCATACTCCCGCGTGCGGGAGAAGGAATTCAGGCCGTTAGCGCTGAAGCTGGGAACCAACCTCTCTCCCACGGTTCCACTGAAGCTAGACATCACACCGCCTGCACAACTTAGAGATAAGCATTACAGCCGCTAAGAAGCACAGAAAGACTGCAGTAGCAATTAGTAGTCAACAGATCTCCCCAACCCCCATGGCAGCATAGTAATGAAGTCCATGGAAAATCACTTTCCAGGGCCGACTCGGGGTGAGAAGTGGGTGTAACAGCCCTGGGGGTTTCCCCGTCTAGGCTTACTCATGGCACAGACTCGGCACGACTTGACAAAGGATAGTACTCAACTACTACACGTCTAGTAGCACCACAGTAGCAGGACAGTTGCTGTACAAAACCCAGAGGGGCCAAGATTTCTGGACAGAGAGCTTACAGACCAAAGTGAATGCAAAGTTTGAAAAAGAAGTTCTGGGCCTGAAACAGGGGAGGGAAGAAGACGAGGCCAAGGGAGCCCCCAGCTGATAGATCTGAAGGAGAGGGGAAAGTCAGCTCATAAGAACATAAGAGATGCCAATGTTGGATCAGGCCAAAGGCCCATCCAGTCCAACACTCTGTGTCACACAGTGGCCAGAAATACCAGTGCCATCAGGAGGTCCACCAGTGGGGCCAGGACATTAGAAGCCCTCCCACTGTTGACCCCCCCAAGCACCAAGATGACAGAGCATCACTTGCCCCAGAGCCCCTATCTATACCTTGAGGCTAATAGCCACTGATGGACCTCTGCTCCATATGGACCATAGCTCCATGAATCATGGAGTTCCTGGAGTAGAGGCAACACTGGAGCTCCATATGGACCATAGCTCCATGAATCATGGAGTTCCTGGAGTAGAGGATGCACAGAGGAAGCCACAGAGATAGGCACCCACCTGACGCATAGGACAGGGGTATACGCTAGACCATTTCCCCAGCATGTGGGGCTGGTTCTTTACCCAAGAGGGGAAGGCAAACTGGTTTGGCACTGGCAGCACCACTGGGGCTCAGGTTTACTGGTGTGCCTGGCCAAGTACAATGGCCATCTCCCCACTGCCGTTGTTTGCTGCCACACCAGCACCTTCACCGGTAGATCATGAGCAGTGTTCCCTCTAAGCTGAGTCAGTGTGAGCTAGTGCACAGTTTTTTAGCCTCAGCTCACACATTTTTGTACTAGCTCCGGAAGGATGGGGCTCCAGAGCAAACTAATTGATGCAGCAGCCAAATCAAGTTTCGTTTATTGTCTTAGCCATTGGCCATAACAACACAAAGTAAATCAAAGCACAACAGAAATATAAATCAATAACTTGCAGTAAGTCCTAGACCCTGTCTTATCTTTTTTGCCGCCAGTGCAAACAAAGCCATTCTGCTAGTAACATGTGCATCAGTATCAGAAAGCAAGAACATGGTCAAATCCTGCTCAGCAATTCCATTATACAGAGGTAAAGGTAAAGGTTCCCTTTCTCAAAAGCCAGTTGAATCCGACTCTAGGGTTGCGGTGCTCATCTCCGTTTCAAAGCCGAAGAGCCAGCGCTGTCCGAAGACGTTTCTGTGGTCATGTGGCCGGCATGACTAAACACCAAGGCGCACGAAACGCTGGTACCTTCCCACCAAAGTGGTACCTATTTATCGACTTGCAATTTCTTGCTTTCGAACTGCTAGGTTGGCAGGAGCTGGAACTAGAGATGGGAGCTCACTCTGTCATGCGGCACACTCGGGTCTCGAACTGCTGAACTACTGACGTTCCACAGTCTGCAGTTCAGCGTCTTAACCACTTGAGCCACCGCAGCTCCTTATACAGAGGTACAATAGGATAAATAAACCTTTGCCTAAGTGATTCGTGCCATAAACATCTCAGAATGTAATGCTCGACATCATCCACTTCACCCATACCACAAAGGCATATTCTAGAGGCAGCAGGGGCACCCAGAAAGTGACCATAGCAGCCAAATCACTCGCTCACAACTTTCATGCCAGTAGCTCACAAAGCAGAATTTTTGCTCACAAGACTCCACAGCTTAGAGGGAGCATTGACCATGAGGGGCTCTCTTTTTTGATACTCTGGTTTTAAAAAGTGGTCTAACAACTGGGCTAGACAGCAGAGGGAAAAGAATAAAGAGAAACCGGGAAGGGCCAAGTATACTCCAACGTTTCAAATGTTCCCTGTTATTATAAAGCTCCCTGCAAATAGAAGGCCAGCACAAAAGGCAAAGGGTTGGACTAAAACCTTATTATCCACTGCCACTTTTCTTTTTCGGGGGAATCATTTGTTAAAATTGCTCCTTTGCCCTATCCAGAAATTAACAATCTGTCTTTCCATCTTTTTTTCTCCAAGCTAAATGAGACCGCTAGCAATCCATGTCTCTAGAAAGTAAAAAAAGGCAGGGGTAATTTCCTGCGGAAGCCCACAGGAGTGGAGCTTCGGCAGTAAGGCACCCAGGGGGCGGGCACATGTAGCAAGCCCCACCCCCTGCTCCCAGCAGCCCTCAGTTGGGCCACGAGGAGCAAGAAGCAGCCAGGAAAGTTTCAGAGCCCCCCCACGGCCCGCCTTCAGGTACAAGCTCTCCCTCCTCTGTGAGGGCAGATCTGGACATTCCCCCCCCCCACAGCTAGCAATCCAAAACAGTCCAGTGGCACCTTTAAGACCAAGTTTTGTTCAGGTACAAGCTCTCCCTCCTCTGCGAGGACAGATCTGCACATTTCCCCCCCACCCCCAATAGCTAGCAATCCAAAACAGTCCAGTGGAGCCTGAGTGGTGGGTGTTGCCATCTGACACACTTCAGGGGGTGTGGCACATGCAAATAAGTTATGCTAATAAGTTATGCTAATGAGCTCCTGCACCTCTTTTTCTACGAAATGACCCCTGAAAAAAGGTGACAGTATCTCATACAGTATGGAACACTTTGCTTTTCTGGCCTATTGTTTTTACCCTGGTTTGTTCTCATGGTTCTTACTTCTGATTTCATGAAAGTCTGTGCGCTCTGCATATTTCCTCTCGCTTCCTACACAGCAGCTCATGAGCGCTTTAATACCGCTGAGAACAACTGTGAGCAGTTCAAGACCTTTTGACCTCCGAGAGGAAGCAAGAGTGCCTCCCCCCCCCCCCATTTTGAACAGTAATGTTGCTTTCAATCTCCCGGGCTTAGCTGCAATCATAAATCCCACCATCTGTACTGCAGTGGGTCCCATAAGCGATACAGCTCAGAAGTATTAGCCTCCTTCCCAAATGGCATGCAGCAAACAGGCAGTCCAATCTCTTTTAAGGCTGCCCTAAAATAGGACACATGCTTTCAGATTTGCACACAACAGCTCGTAACGGAAAAAGGTTCTCGTTTTACATTTTAAAGATTAAGCCGCGGGACTGAAGTTCAGATTGATTTATTTCCTTACTTTGTTCGTACCCTGCCTTGTCCCCCCCCCCCACCGGGGACTCAAAACAGCCAACATCGTTCCTGTTCTCACAACAACCCTGTGAGTTAGGTCAGGCGGAGCGTGTGACTGGCCCAAGGTCACCCAGCGAGCTTCCACAGCAGAGTGGGGCTATTGGAGGGCTCTGCCCCCTTCCTTAAAAGGCCAGCCCCACAAGATTTTTTTGGAGAAGGTTTTTTGGAGAAGAATCGTGGGGATGCGCACACGCCCGCTCCCCCGCCTCTTCTCAAAAGCATTTAAAGGGATCCTTCAAATGCTTTAGGCACACGCTCCTCTCCCTCCCTTCCCGCAAGATTTAAAGGGCCCTCCAGCTGATTGGCGGGCCATGTGCTCCCTGCCAATCAGCTGAAAGGCCCTTTAAATCTCGTAGGAGGGGAGGGGGGAAGGGTGGACCCTGCGGTCGGGTTTGGGGGCAGATTGGAGCTGACATAAAAATAATGGCAGCCCCACCAAAATAAAAATTGCCACACAAGCCACAAAATCCCAGCTACGGGCCTGGGTCTCCCAGATTCTATTCTGACATACTAACAACTATACCACACTAACTGTAAGTTTCAATACCTGCATGGGGTGGGGATTAACCCACAAGCCACAGTCACTGCTGATTTCTGTGTTTATGACAGATTCAATAACAATAGTTTTTGACACAGGTTCCGCTGACAGGGCGATTTTTTTTAATTGCCCAAAACAGCTCCTAATCTTTCCTCCGTAGGCCCCCAATGTCCCCCTGTCTCCATGATTTATTTATTTATTTATTATCAAATTTATACCCCCGCCCTCCCTGCAAAGCGGGCTCATTTCTCCATTCCTCCTTCTTGTTCCGGCTATTCCATATATAACCCCGAACTCTTTAGAAAACATCGGTCTTGGAAACAGACTATGCTGTGCCACGTAACATTAAATGAATCTGCACAGCTTACTCTGAGAGTCCAGCCTACGGTTCATTGCTTGCAACATCATACCCCCAAATCACATCCTGCCTTCTAGATCTCATCAAAGAAAAAAAGTTGCTGTCGATGTAAACATGGCTGACGACTGCATTTCGGAGGAGCCTCCCCTGGAAAACATCATACCCATCAAGGTCTGCATATTTGTAATCTCAGTCAACCATACAGCAGTTAGCGGTTTAGTGGAGAGAAGTATTACCATGCAATGGGGAAAAAAAAACCCTCCCCTCCCCCGATCATACGTTTATGCCAAGACTGTTTCAGCTTCCATCACCACTAACACAGGTGAACTTACATCATCACTGGGACTTCTAAACTGCAGCAAAGTCCCCTGGCTGAAATTTTATCCTTCGCTCTGCAGCACAGAATGGCAGACGGATCCTCTGTCACCGTATCCCAAGACAGAAGGGGACGTCACACAAAAACCCACACACCAGGTACTGTGTATTCGGTTACTAACAAAACTGTGCCCTTCGTTCTAAAATTTGATACCGTCGCAAACTAGCTGGCTCCGACAAAACGAGTTTGATGCAGCATTTGGATCTCAGCGGTCGCTCTGCCAATTAAATCTACAGTATGCCTCTGCCTGCAAGAAACGAGGCAATATCGAATGCACGCCGAAGCATTTCAGTAGGGTCTTGGTTTTTATTCAACAGCTACCCGATTTAAAAACACACCTTCAAACGCCATGCCATTGGTGTTATGCTAAGTAGTAATTTGGTAATGGGTTTTTAATGGTTGAAAGCATCTTTAGGAGCCAGTGTAGAGCTGTGAAGCAGGGGAACACAGTTATATATACACATATGAAGCGATGGAAGATACACTCATCAGAACTGACATGCATCAGAAACAGCACATATTTTAATGAACTGTGGAATTTCAACAGGACCCATCTAACACCTCAGTAACCCTCTGCTTGCCTCAATACATGAGCAAGGATTTAGAGAAACTGACAGATCAGGACAGACATGCCTAGCATCTTTTTGTTGCCATCGTTTTTACCCACTTTCAGTTTCACCGTGCAAAAAAGTTCATGAACAGAAGTGTACAGTGCAAAGCGAAGACTTTAGAATATTTCAGTTTGGCAACCGCAGAGGATCCCAACCGTGCAAAGCAGGAACGAGGCATCCGCCTACAAAAACGTATTTGGATATTTGGTATTTGCCCTTACCTGGATAGCCCAGGTTATCTGGTCAGATCTCAGAAGCCGTTAAACAGGGGTTGGTCCTGGCTAGTATTTGGATGGGAGACCTCCAACAGGTACCAGGTTTGTGCTGCAGAAGCGGGCAATGGCCAACCACCTCTCAATGGTAAGCCGTGACTTTCCACCACTATTCTTAGTGTCAACGGAAATGAAGGCCAAGGCTACAATCCTGTGCAACTCTACCTGGCAGCGAGACCCCTCGAACAGAGAAGGGCTTTTCGCAGGACTGCACAACGTGTCCATAACACACAGCCACACATTCATCCCTTAACAATTTTACTTTCTCCTTTTCACTGCAAATCTGTATCTGACTCACTGGGTTCTGGTCTGTGAGAGCTGGCGCTGGAGCAAACTCTTGCTAGTATCTGAAGTGCCACAACACTCTCTTATCGGCTTTTGCCGCAAGGCAGCTGCTCCTATGAAACTAGTTCCTCCAATTCCAGTGCAATCCTAGGCAGAGTGACTGTCGTATAAATCCCATGAATAACCTGCTGTTAAAATTCAGACTGGAGGCGCCTCAGGGGCAGACACTCTGGGAAACATGACCATATATTCATTAACCTAACAGCATGCCCCGAAGCAGAGTTACACCTTTCTACACCTGTCACAGGCTGGGAAGGTGAAATTCTGCTTAAAACCGCATTGCAAGGGCCGGATTGGAGCAAATGTACTCTGGGTTGCACCAAATACGCAGTCTTGCTTCCACCACCCCAGCACAGCAGCAGTGTCTGGTCTCAAAGCCAAGAGTGTCAAAACCCATCTGATTTAACTATTTTATTTATTTAATTCATGTATACCCTGCCTTTCTCCCCAAGAGGCAGTTTGGTGTAGTGGCTAGGAGCATGGACTCTAATCTGGGAGAACCGGGTTTGGATTCCCCACTCCTCCATATGCAGCTGTTGGTGCGACCTTGGGTCTGTCACAAGTTCTCTCAGAGCTGTTCTCTCAAGAGCAGTTCTCAAAAGAGCTCTCTCAGCCCCACCCACCTCACAGGGTGTCTGTTGTGGGGAGGGGAAGGGAAAGGAGATTGTAAGCCACCCTGAGACTCCTTCAGGTAGTGAAGGGTGAGGTATAAATCCAATCTCCTCTTCTTCTTCGCCACTCTGAGACTTCTTCGGGTAGGTAAGGGTGGCATATAGATCCAATCTCTTCTTCTTCTTCAATGGGGACCAGTGTCCCCTCTAAGTTGAGTTAGTGTGAGCTAGCTCACAGTTTTTTAGCCTCCAGCTCTAACAGTTTTGTCTTAGCTCAGGAAGGATGGCTTTAGAGCCAAACTAATTTATGCAGCAGCCAAATCGCTCGCTCACAACTTTAATGCCAGTAGCTCACAAAGTACCATTTTTGCTCATACGACTCCACAGCTTAGAGGGAGCATTGATGGGGATCCAAAGCAGTTCACATCATTCTCCTTTCCTCCATTTTATCCTCACAACAACCCTGAGAGGCAGGTTAGGTCGAGAGGATGTGACTGGCCCAAGGTCACCCCAGTGAGCCTCCATGGCACGAGTAGGGATTCAAACCCGGGTCTTGCAGGTGATCCCCTTCAGCACCACCGGCTCAACACCAGTGTTCCCTCTAAGCCGAGTTAGTGTGAGCTGGCTCAGAGTTTTTTAGCCTCCGGCTCACACATTTTTGTCTCAGCTCAGGGAGGATGGGGCTCCAGAGCAAACTAATTTATGCAGTGGCCAAATCGCTCGCTCACAACTTGAATGCCAGGAGCTCACAAAGTAGAATGTTTGCTCACAAGACTCCACAGCTTAGAGGGAGCATTGCTCAACACCCTAGCAACCTTAAACCGGAGTCCCTTCGAAAACGAACCCCGTCTTCATGCCTCCCGGCGAGCCAAAAACCCACTTCCTCAGACGCAGCAGGAAGCAGCAAGACCCGTCCCGCAGAGCAGGTGCCGCCGCCTTCGACTAAGCACCCAAGGAGGTTTCCTGTCCCGGAGAACAGAAAGTCACTTACCGAAAGTCGCTTACCCAGAGTCCCAGACCCCCCACGCAGGACGTGCGCCGCAGCAGCAGCGCCCCCTCGGCTGGGTCTCCCCTGGAGAAGAAGAGCGAAAGCCGTGCCAGGAGAGAACCGCGGGAGAGCCCGACTCGGCTTCTCCACCCCCGGGCCGCCCGCTCTCGCAGCAGCCCAGAGGGACGTCCCCTCTCTGCGCCTGCCCTCCTCCTCCTGGTGCTCCGTTTAGTACGTGCCCGGCGCAGGCGGGAGGAGAGCCGCCTCCTGTCAAGGGCGGCCCTAGCCACTATATAGGGGGTAGTGCCCTAGCCCGCCCCGGGGCAGCAGTGCCCGGGGATCCCAGCAGGGGGCCAGCCCGCCTCTCCCTGAGCGGGGCGGGGCGAAGAGGCCGCCACAATAAGCCTCTGCTGCCGGCTTCCGTCTCCCTCTCCCTCTCTCCAGGGGGAGGAGACCCAAGGGCAGCCGGCGGCGGGGGGCCTGGAAACGGTCTTTTTTTTCCTGCGGAATCAGAGGGGGAGACGCTGCGGAAATAGCCGTGGTTGCCCCGGCTGGGCCCGCGAGGCGGAGAGAGGGGGAAAGAGGCTGTGGACTCGAGGCGGCTGCGGCAGGAAGGCGGGCAAGCGCCGCCCCGCCGGGAGAGGCCCGCGCCAAGCCAAGCGCGCCCGGCTGCTGGGTTGGGGAGCCCCGGGCTGGGGACCAGTGCTCCCTCTAAGCTGTGAAGTCCTGTGAGCAAAAATTCCACTTTGTGAGCTGCTGGCATTAAAGTTGTGAGCGAGCGATTTGACTACTGCATGAATTAGTTTGCTCTGGAGCCCCCTCCTTCCTGAGCTGAGACAAAAACGTGTGAGCCGGAGGCTAAAAAACTGTGAGCTAGCTCACACTCACTCAGCTTAGAGGGAACACTGCTGGGGACACGTGCGGAGGAAGAGGAGGAGGACAGCTGCAGTGCAGAGGCGGCGGCTGCTGCTGCTCGGGTGCGGGACTGGGGGGGGTGCATTTTTTGGTTTTCCCCCACAACCAAGAGCGCGGCGGTGGCGGCGCCGTGCTGCCTCTGTCTGCGCTCTCACGTGCGGGTTTGCCTCCAGAAGTGGCACCGAGCCCCAGGCAGGGGTCCAGGCCAGTGTTCCCTCTAAGCTGAGTGAGTGTGAGCCAGCTCACCGTTTTTTAGCCTCCGGCTCACAGATTTTTGTCTTCGCTCAGGAAGGAGGTCTTGGAGCTGTGGTGGCTCAAGTGGTTAAGACGCTGAACTGCAGGCTGTGGAAGGTCGGTAGTTCAGCAGTTCAAGACCTGAATGTGCCGCATGACGGAGTGAGCTCCCGTCTCTAGTTCCAGCTCCTGCCAACCTAGCAGTTCGAAAGCAAGACATTGCAAGTAGATCAATAGGGACCACTTTGGTGGGAAGGGAACAGCGTTCTGTACGCCTTGGTGTTTAGTCATGCCGGCCACATGACCACGGAAACGTCTTTGGACAGCGCTGGCTCTTCGGCTTTGAAACGGAGATGAGCACCGCAACCCTAGAGTCGGACTCAACTGGCTTTCGAGCAAGGGAACCTTTACCTTTACCTTACAGGAAGGAGGGCTCCAGAGCAAACGAATTCATGCAGCAGCCCAATCGCCCGCTCACAACTTTAATGCTGGGAGCTCACCAAATAGAATTTTTGCTCACAGGACTCCACAGCTTAGAGGGAGCCTTGGTCCAGACCAGTGCAAGGGCCGTGGCCAGTGTTCCCGCTAAGATGAGTGAGTGAGTGTGAGCCAGCTCACAGTCTTTTAGCCCCTGGCTCACAGCTTTTTGTCTTGACTCAGGAAGGAGGGCTCCACAGCGAACTAACTTATGCGGCAGCCAAAGGGCTCGCTCACAACTTTAATGCCAGGAGCTCACAAAGTAGAGTTTTTGCTCACGAGACAGCTTAGAGGGAGCCTTGGCCGTAGCCAGGATTCCCCCCCCCCCCGTTTTGTGGGGCAAATTTGTTTCCTCGTGGGGCACCCATAATGCTTATCCGTGAAAATAATATATAACGGGGGATTTGGGGAGGGGCGCCTGAGGAGCACGGGGTTTGGGGAGGGGGGGGACTTCAATGGGGTATAATGCCATAGAGTCCACCCTGGAGATCAGGTGTCACACCAGGGGGCCTCCAGCCACCACCTGGAGACTGGCAACCCCAGGAGAGAGAGATTGGCTCCCCCCCCCAAACCGCCTGCCATGGAAAGTTATGGGAGAAAGAGATTGGCATCCCCACCAAAACCAACCCCCCCCTTCCATGGAAAGTTATGGGGGAGAGATTGGCTTTCCGACCACCATGGGCAGGCCCTCCCCCCCTTTCTTAGCCCCCTTTCCCAGCAGGGGGAGGCTGGGGAAGGAAAGGGAAACGGCCCTGCCTTCTGGTCAATTTCACTCCCCTCCTTTCAGCTGATGGGGAGGGAGTGAAACTGACCAGAAGCTGCAGGGCGACTTCCCCTTCTTTCCCCAGCCTCACAGCTGCTGTGGGGCTAGGTATACTGGGGGTGGGGGTGTCTGGCATCATCAGGTGGCGGCGGAGCGCCCCAAAATGCCCCACCGTGGCTATGGGCCTGGTCCACTGTGGAGTTCAAGCAGAATCCTTCAAGGGCAGACCAGAGACTTTTCTCTTTCGCAGCCATTCCGCACCCCCGCTAGGATTTTTTGTTCCGTTTGCTGCACCCCTGTGGGCAGGGCTTTTGTTGTTGTTGTTTTGGAAAAGAGGTGCCGGGACTCTCAAGAGGGAAATGAAGTTTTCCATCCGTGTACTAAGAACTCATGAACTTTTAAACATTTAAAGAGTTTTGTCGAAGAGGTTCCAGAACTCCATTCCGGCACACATCCCCCCCCCCCCAGAAAAAGAAGCCCTTCCTGTGGGGTATCAGAAGGCCGGCTTCTGAATGCAGGGGTGTTGCTTGCTGACTTGCCCATGTGAGTCGAGTTGCCAGTGCTGAAGGTAAATCAAGGTGGGTCGCTGTGTTAGTCTGTCTGTAAGCGGTAGAAAAGTCAGCAAGAGTCCAGGGGCACCTGAAAGACGAACTAAATTGGTATCTGAAGAAGTGAGCAGTCACTCACCAAAGCTTCTACCCTGCCACAGATTTTGTGAGAAAAGAGCAAGAGTCCAGTGGCACCTTAAAGTCGAACTACATTTGTATCTGAAGAAGTGAGCAGTCACTCACCAAAGCTTCTACCCTGACACAGATTTTGTGAGTCTTCAAGGTGCTACTGGACTCTTGCTCTTTCCTGCTTCCAGTCCTGAGTTCGGGAAATACCTGGAGGTTTTGGAGGTGGAGAAGGTGGGATTTGGGGAGGGACCTCAGCATGGTACAATGGCGTAGCGCCCACCCACACAAAGTAGCCATTTTCTTCAGGGGAACTGATCTCTGTTGTTTGCATAGCAGTCGTCAAAGCAGGAGATCTCCAGGCCCCACATGGAAATTGGCAACCCTGCATATTGATGAGTCCTTGGGGCGTCAGACTGGGATCTGGGAGGCCCGGGTTTGGATCCCCTGTCTGCCGTAGAAGCTTGCTGGGTGACCTTGGACTCAAACTTCGTTCTGTTTCAATAATGATCCTATTAATGATTCTATTAATGATAACTTTGTGGACTGTGTGGAAAGCAAGACTGAGAAAGCATCACTCGCGTTACTAATTACTTTGTCTCAGCATATTACTCAATGAGGAAAGCCTTGTGAAAACCTGGAGGTCTTCTAGAGAAAGCAAATGCAAGATTACGTAAAGTTTCCTTTGGGTCAACGTGCCCTTTCGTTGTTTTAGCCAAAAGCCCCAGTTTTCTCCTCGGAGCTTGTGAATGCTCTTCTCAACATTTGGCTTCAAGGGCTGAGTCATCATGCGATGCGCGTGCATGAACTAGCCCGAAGACTGCACCTATGTACCCTTGGATGATGCACTCTCAAAATCATTGGCAACTGGATTTTCCTGTGTGAATAGCACAAGCCAGGAGGTGAGCGATTGCTATAGTCTAATGGCAGCACAACACCCCAGCGGGCGTGTGGATGGAGCCTACTGACAGACATCAAAACCTGTACTCTTTCCACACGTCGCAAAATGGAATGCTCAAGACACGCAGCGTGTTTTACAGCCTATACTGAACCTTACCCCTGCTCGAGTGGTGACTATTGCTTAGCCACTGTTGGCCGTGGCAGCTTTCTGAATTCCACTTCAGTGCACGTTTCCTCTCAGTGGTACAGCTCTCAGAATGGTTTCCTAGCCAGCCCCAGGTTGGTGCGGTTGAGAAAGAGGTGACAAATCAGCAGGGTCTCTCAGGATTACCTGGGGAGTTGAAGTTATGAGGGAAATCAAGGGGCCCTGAACCTGAACGTCATTAGGCGCCAAGGGGACGGACAGGCCATATGCTTTTTCACATTATGTTTGAGGTGGGGTGACAGAAGCAGGAGATCAGACAGGGAAATCTTCGTCGGGGGCTTGTGGTGGCTCTCAACAGCCTTGCATGGCCTGGAAGTCACCTGTGATGATGGGCAATGTTCCCTCTAAGCTGTGGAGTCCTGTGAGCAAAAATTCTACCTTGCGAGCTACTGGCATTAAAGTTGTGAGCGAGCAGTTTGGCTACTGCCTACATTAGTTTGCTCTGGAGCCCCACCCTTCCTGAGCTGAGTCAAAAATGTGTGAGCCGGAGGCTAAAAAACAGTGAGCTAGCTAACACTAACTCAGCTTAGAGGGAACACTGATGATGGGTGCCAGGGATCGCTCCTCCTCCTCCTCCTCCTGTCAAACCTGCCAGAGTCCATTTCCTTTTTTTTTCATGAATCAATTTTATCTTCAAAAGAAACAAACATAAAATTGGGGTACAACATTTCATATCCATCTTTCCCTCTATTATAGTACCTCATACATTATCTGAATCTATATCATTTTTCCACCTTGTACTATCTATCTATTTATTTATCTGACTTATATCCCACCCTTTCACATGGGCCCAGGGCGGCTAACAAGAGGCAAATTGCCATACATAACCAAAAAAACCCAGATAAAACAGTCAATTCCATTTACATTTTAAAATCGGTGCTCGTAACAATATGTCATCCAAGACGGGGACTCCAATACAATGTTTCAGAGGATCTACTGTCTCCTCTTGATCGGTCTACGCTATGTCCGTTCTCCATTCCCAAGGCCAGTTCGCATTGCCAGACGTGGCAGCACGGTGGCGGTACAG